AAAAAAAAAAAAAAAAAATCAAAGAGAACGAATTTGTATGCTTTCCTCTATTGGATATGCAATTGGAAATGTGAAGTTGGACTAATACTACTGGACAAAGACAACAGTACTTACTAAGTATTAGTCTTCTGAGCTTACTAGATTCGATTAAGTGTGAGGATTCTGCCATCTTAGAAGGAGTAGAAGGAGAAAGTTGGCTGCAAACGGAGACTGGTTGTTGCATATTAGTAAAAGAAAACCATGTGCATTCTATAGCCAACTCTGACAGGTACGTAAGAGTTAAACTTTGACATTACATCCCGTTTTGTTTGACAAATGAAAACTGCCTACCTTTAAAATTTAGAGTTAGTACATTCAGAGTTAGCACAATCTTATATATACCTTTAAGTAATGAGATCTATTGAATATAGAACTCACTCTACATTTGCCTTTAAGTAATACTCCTACCATTCCAATTTATGTGACGGTATTTGATTGGACATAAAGTTAAAAAAATAAAAAAAAACTTTTGAAACTTATGACCTATAATAAACTAATAGATATTTGTATGACTATAAATTATTTTATTATAAAGGTACAATCAGCATAGTTAAATTGTTATTCCCTCTTTTTTAATTTTTGTGGCGGTGTTTAAAGTACGAGAGTCAAATAATTTAATTTTTTTGTTATCGTGGTTCTTTAATATGCATTTTAAATTATTATTAATTATTATGACTTATAGTATTTTTTACGTAGTTTTTAAATATGTAAATCTTATTTTAAAATTTAAAGAGTTTATATATTCAAATTCACGATCAAAATTAAAAAGTTTAACTCTCAATTTAACTGATAGAGGCGTTAAATCTGGAGGAAGCATCTGGTCACAAATCTCAAAACCTTCACAAAAACGTACAAAACACATGAATTGAGATAAAGGAAATACTGAATATAAAAACATATTATTTTTTGCGATCGACTAAAAAAAAAAGTGTCATACTATAAATTTAGCATTTAATGAGCGCACATGTGAGTGCCAATGCTAGAGCACGAATACTATAAGAAGAAATTGGAGGAAGGCATAATTATAAACGTTAAAGACATTAGTCATGAGTTTGGGTGCAGAGATAATGATAAGGGTGGTGGGACTGTGGGCTGCTTTCTTGCGTCCATGGCTACTTAGATTTGCAGTAGAGATGGCAGATTATGTAAGGGGAATCATACTTGATCCTTCTTCTCACATTTCTGCATATCGTCCATATCCATATACGGTAAGAGTTCATGTCTTATCTTTACTATTCTAAAAATAAATTTTTAATTTTACTTGTTCACTTTTTCGCATGTCAAGAGAAATTTTTTTTTTTTTATTACTTATTTCAAATCATTTTTTAAATCCATTAAGACTACACCAAAAATTATGGGTATCAAGGTAAATTATGCACTTTATTTATTATTTCTTAACGGATATCCAAAGTCAATAGTAGACAAATAAAAGTGAACAGAATGAGTATTATTTTTGGCTCAATTTATATGATGCACTTTTATTTTTAGTTTGTAAAGTAATGTTGAGTTTTCCAACTCGGTGGGTAAATCTTGAGCAATTCTTACTTCATGGGCTATTTTTGGGGGTTGAGTTATGCCCATCTATTCTTTTTATCAAATAATGGTAACTATCTATATTAAAAATAATTAAATTTTAAATTTCTCATTTTACCCTTAATAGCTATATCATTGTTTATGACTTGTTTTAGACTATTAATTTCAAAATAGGAGTATTTGTTTTCCTTAAATTCTGTGTCCGGTCAAGAGTACATCACGTATGCAATTTTATTTTCTGCTGAAGAGCATGCTCAGTAGTGAAGAACAGAGGCGTAACAATCTCCAAAATGGAGGAGCATTTTCATTAGTGAAGAAAGGATTACGGTGTGGAAGCCAATTAAGAGATGTATTTGATCTGCTTGGAATTCCATAATTATTCCTCGAAATTTAAAATAAAGTCATACTCCCTTCGTTTACTTTTACTTGTAACTTTGGATTTTGCACTGCCCTTAAAAAATAATAAATAAAGTGCATAATTTATCATGATACACATATTAATTGGTGTACAGTTTTAATGTATTTGAAAAATAATTTGGAATGAGTAATTAATTCTAAGGCAAAAATAAAAAAAATAAATTATTTTTCTCTTGATATACGAAAAATGACAAGTAAAAATAAAAATTTATTTATAGAATACTTACAACTAAAAGCAGAGTAGATGGTTTTCTTTCTGCAGCTGTTTTTTTTTTTTAACTCTATTCACTGATCTTGTCTAGCTCCATTTATGAGATGCCTTTGATTTATGAAAGGCAAAAAGGAAAACTTTTATTTCTTCTTCTATGAGTTGCCCTTGATTTATTGTTGCTTTGTCAGATGTTTCTTGAAAATCATCTATCAATAAATTCTGTTATATTGATTTCACGAAAATTCACTTCAATTGTTGTTCTTCTTTCAAATATTTTTTTTATATAAATTGATAAGCTCACACCCCTAAAAGTGGAGTAGTTTGCCTTTTAGTGTCTATTGAAAAACTAATTCAAAGTTGTAGCAGTAAACCTTAGTTATTTAAGATTTGGTTTATTTAATATATGTCTAAATAGGATTTGCAGTTAGAATAAATATAGGAATAGACTTTCTTATTTCTAGTTGAAATAAGTTTCATGCTATTATAAATAGGGATATTGATAGTTTATTTTATGTGGGGAGATCTGTGATAGCTGTAGAGAGCTTTCAGATATTTATAATAAAAAATAATTTTTCCTTCAATGCCCCTTCCAAGTAATTTTTTTTCTTTTTATATCCTATTCCCCATTTTTGGATTATCATGAAAGACATTAGTAACAATTAACTATACACTCTTTGACTCAGAAAAAACTATAGACCCTTTGACTCAACAAAATTAAAAGGCCAACATACTAATCGTACATAAATATGGATGACTCCAAATTCAAGTGAGCACTTTGGTTCAGTGGTAATAGGGTGCAAATTTGCCTCCAAGGTCTGGGATTCGATCCCCACTTATTACTCTTATACTAGTATTAGACTTGCGCGATGCACGTACAATTCTAAAAAATAATTATCAAAATGTGATTTAGTTTATTTAAGCACATTAGATCATATTGATTTTGTAAAATTTTAACTATCAGCTTGTTTCTTAACTCAATCTACGCGAATCTTTCATAACAAAATTAAATATAAGATTTAATTTTATTGATTAATTACCACGATTATTTAAGTAATTATGGTCTCTTAAATTATATCACAAATATACGAACTATTTTTTTGATATATCATATACGATAAAATCATAGCATATGGTATATGTTGTATGATAAGAATATATGTATCATAAATATATATAATAGCAATAGTGCATACAATAAATACATACAATATATGGTTATAAAATAAAATATTAAAAATGACAAAATTTCAATAAATCTTTCCAGTTGTCTGTTATATGAATTTTTCTAACAAATATTTTAATTAAAATACTTTGAAAACGAATTATATAGTTATGTTCCTATTGAAACGATTTGAAATTAAATTGATATGTTGCATATTAAAACGATTTGAGTATAGAATATTTTTAACTAATACGCCTTTACACTTCTTGTGTCTTGTGTCTTCTCAATCGAGGTTCCCCCCGCTCTCAGACCTGCTCTTGCTCTCGGCGTCATCATCATCGGAGGAGGAGGACAGTGCTCCAGCATCAGCTTCACGCTCTCTAGTCTTTATTATCTCGTCGGTAAGATCGAAACCTCGAGCGTGGATCTCCTCGAGGGTTTCCCTCCTAGATTGGCATTTGGCGAGTTCAGCAATCCAATGTGCTCGGGTTTGAGCGGGCTCGGCTGCCTCTCTCACTTGAACTTGAGCGGCTTCAGCATTGGCTCGGTAGACGACCACGATCGCCTCTGTCTCGGCTTTTGCTGTTTTAGCTTCAGACTTGGCCTTTGCAAGTTCGGAAGCCAACCGAGCCTCGAGCTCCTCTATTTTCTTTGCTTGAATTGAGTTCTTCTCCTTCATGCCTCGAAACTGACTTTCGGCCGATGACAATTGGGATAAAGCAGTCTCTTTTTCCGCAGCAAAGCAGTCCATACCTTCTTTCCACCCCCAAGGTCTTCGCCTTCATCATGTTGACCTCCTCGCAGAGCTGCTCGATCCTCTCGACCATCTTCTGCAGCTGTGAGATTGAAATGTTAGCCACCGTTTCCGAATCGAGCCCATGAGCTTTTAAGATTTTCATTACCTGCTCGATCAGGTCGGTCTGATCTTGGTGAGCCTTGGCCAACTCAGCTCGGAGGTCCTTGGTCTCCTCTTCTTTTTGCCCACAGAGAAGTCTAAGGGCATTTCTCTAAACCTTTCACAATACCATATTAAGAGTAATGAAATTTGCTTAATATCCTGATCTAGGCTTCCTTCTTGTCCTCATGTTTTTAATATGAATTTTTATGGTGTATCTGCAATTAAAGAAATATTAAAATAGTTAGTACAGAATATGAAAAATGATAATCACGTTGATTCTCTTTTGCTGCAAACTTTTCTATTCACTACAACAGAAAATGCGACAATTTAAACTCAACATGAGAATATTATGTAAATATAATTTCTTGTCCAACAATATAGCTCTAAGTTCGATAGAACTACCACCTAAAAAAATCTCTCGTAATTTATTAACATCTCTTATGCTAATGAACCAAGTGAAATGTGGGCATAGGCAAGAATGATGCACAGAGACGTAAAATACTAAACCCAAACAAAGATTGAAAAGGAAAAAGATAAACAAAGAAAAAGAAAGTCAAAACAACATGTACACCTTGAAATGTAACAATGACAAGTAGGGTCTTTAAATATTTCAATGCCCTTTCCATACAAAACGTAACCTCTGTAGAAGAAGAGAAAGAGTGGGGGGTATAATTAGGAAAATTTAATTAGAGAATAGAAACGGCTTTAGTCTCCTCTAATACCACATTGAAAGCATACAAAGAGTATGAAATTGGGAAAGAATGAGAAAAATCCAAAAAAATGAGAAAATAGGTAAATAGGATCCTTGGCTAAATAGAAGTGCCAACGCATCTTTTATTTTCCCTACTTTATATATATATATATATATATATATATATATAGATAGATAGATAGATAGATAGATAAATGGATGTATAAATAACTTTTTTTCTCTATATTTACTTATTTTCAAAATATACATATTATACAGTGAGTATACATTAATTATACATTGAACGGTAGTCAAGGAAGACCCCATAAACCAACAAATCCTTCATTTCCACTTGGATTTTACGGCAACTGGGATGAAAATTTTGACCATAATTTTAATTTTGATAGAAAAATGTGAGAAACTAGAAGGATAAGTTGAAATTAACGAGAATCTCAAACAAAATAACTGCAGTAGATATGACATTGCAAAGCTCGTCAAAACGTGGTGGTATTGAGGTATTTCCTATTAGGATGTTTAAAGAAGAGAGAGAATGAAAGTTTTTTTTTTAAAAAAAAAAAAATTTGGGTAACTGAAAAACAGAAGAAAAAGAATGAAAAGAGATATTTTTAATTTGGGTATCTGAAATTCCTACAATTACGCCTAATTTGTTAGCTGGCTTAACTGGCTACAAACGATAAAAAAATGTGTGAAAATTGTTGAAATGGGTTATAAAAAGAAAATAGGTTTATTTTAAGTTTATAAGTAAAATGGGCTGTTAATCCAGTTAATTATTAGTTTTTTTATCCGCCTGATGACTTCTAAAGCCAAAACAAAATTCCTTCGAAATGCCTTCAATACTTCAGTGAATGCCATGACTGTGTATACTTTCTTATAGGTAAATGAACTACACTATCTTGGTTCAACATTAATTGGGAGTATAAATTAAAATCGTAAAAACTGTAACTTCAGAGGCTTCTTTAAATTTTGTGAAATTGGTACTAGTAGGCAGATTTTGTTAGGTCTTTTGCCCTGATTTTCTTATCATATTTGAGTTTTACTTTTCTCTTAAAGGAAAGTTAAAGTATTACCATAATTGCTTTTATTTTTCCTGAAATGAAAATACAATTCTCTTCCATATTTGGTTATTCCTTGTCTTGGAAGAAAAATTTTGGACATCTATAAATTTAAGACTCCTTCTCACAACTAGAACAACAATAGCATCCACAATGTAGTCAATAAAGAGTCTTGTTTAGGGAGAGATTATTCTCTCAATAATTTTATGTCTTTATATTAGTTTTTTCATATGTAGGTCAATTGGCCAAACCATATTAGAATAATATGCTTCTTTTAATATAGTTTTCTTTGTCGTCTCATTATCGTGTTCAAGGTTTGCAAATTATTAACTTTCGCATGACGCCTTGTTATTTTCGATCACAACAGATTTTAGTATCAAAATTTAAAATCTCTTATATTCTAGTATAATTTAGTTGACTTTTCATTCAGAAAATAAGAGTTTGATAAATCATTGCTTTGGAACTTTTTATAGATTAAGGATTGGAAAATGTGAAAAAACATAAAGCTTCTGCAATCACTAAAACTAACATTTTGACAAAAAATCTGCTGCTACTAAAATCTGAGGAAAACAGATGTTTGAGTAAGTGTAACTTGCTGTGCATAGATTAATTGCTTTGATTTGAGTAATAATTGAGCGGATTGAGTTATAACCCGTTATTTGACATATCTTGACCCAAGTTAACTTTGGACGGGTTGGATCATGACCCCCGTAGTGACACAATTCGTTTTTTTTTATGGTAACTAACTTTTTTATTAATCACAAAAGTAAATCTTTACAAAATCATAGCTCGACTAACTCAGTCAGCTATCTACATAAACAACCAAGAACAAAATCTATACATCATAACTACGAGCTATCTACTAAAACTGAAAACTATGCATGATGGTTTGGACTCGTGGTGCTGTTCTAACATGGCACATCACTGCTATCTCCCTCGCAACTTCTTCCCAATTTCTACTCTTCTTCTCAAAAATTCTATAATTTCTCTCCATCCATATGGCATAGAGGCATTCTGCATACGCCATCCTGCATATTTGAGCTTGCGGTGATCTCCCTTTTGCACTTTTGATAGCCCATTCCAGATGGTGTTTCCACTGAGAATGCTTGCAGCTTTGATGTTGAAGCTACTGCATAGTCTTTTCCCAGAGTCTCTTGGAATATTCACATCCTGCTAGCAGATGATCTCTAGATTCATCTTGTGCTTGACAAAGACTGCATTTTACTTCTACATTCATCCTCCATCTTATGAGTCAGTCAGTGGTCAGTAATTTACCTTGTAATCCCAGCCACATAATTATCTTTGCTTTAGGTCGAGCATCATTCCTATACATGAGACATTTTCAAGGCACTCTAGCATTATTGGGTAGTAGTTATTTATATATCAAGCTAGTGATGCTTTTCTTTATTGCTTTATCATTTTGAATTAGCTTCATATCCTCTCTGGCTTCCATTATCTTCCTTATGATCCAACAGGCTTGTTGAGGGATGCCTGCTTCCTGAATTTGCTATCCTTTTATACAGTATGTATGCACCTATCTAATCCATAGCTTGTCCTGTTTGGGAGCAAGGTCCCAACATATTTTTGTCACAACAGCTTTGTTCCACAATTTGATGTTGATTAGGTTTAATCCTCCCATAGATGTTGGAGAGCATACTCTTTCCCATGCTACCAGTGCTTTCCTTGTGATTGTATTAGTTCCAGACCATACAAAGCTCCTACAGTAAGCCTCTATAAGTGATAGAAATTTTGCAGGTATTATGAATAATTGAGCCCAATATGATTGTACCCCAAAAATAATTGATTGTATCAACTGAACCCTGCCTGCATAAGAGAGTTTTTTGGCAGTCCAGAAAGTGATTCTAGCTGTAATCTTGTCAAAAGTTGGCTTCCACTGGCTAAGGTTCAGTTTCTTTGTTGATAATGGTACACCAAGGTACTTGAAAGGGAGGTCTCCTTGGTTGAATCCCAGCTTGCTAATATTGTTTCTTTATCCTGATGTTGAACCCCTCCAAAATATACACAACTCTTCCCCATATTAGCCTTAAGACTAGAGGCTGCAGAGAAATGAAGAAGGCATTGCTGCATTGCTGCTACTGATGCTATGTCTCCTCTAGTGAACATAAGAAGATCATCTGCAAAACTGAGATCAGTGATTCCCAGCTTAGCACATCTAGGATGATATTTAAAAGCTTTTACTTCTTTGAGTTCATTAAGGCATCTACTAAGGTACTCCATAGCCATAGCAAAGAGAAAAGGTGAGATTAGATCCCCTTGCCTAAGACCCCTTGCAGCATTAAAAAGCTCTGTTGGTTCCCCATTTATCACAATGGTATAGTTCACTGTATGCACACATTCCATTATCCAAGTAATAAATTGAGATGGGAAACCTAGTTCAAACATGACCTGTTCCAGAAAAGGCCATTCAACAGAATCATATGCCTTTTGAAGGTCAATTTTGATCGTGCATCTATGTGATACTTGTTTTCTAGTGTAGGACTTCACTAGTTCATTTATGAGTATGATATTATCAGCAATCTTCCGTCCTGGTATGAAGCCTGCATGTGCTTGACAGATGACATCAGCAATCATTTGTTGCATTCTAGATGCTAGTATCTTTGCTATAATCTTGTATAGGACAGAACAACCTGCTATTGGCCTATATTCCTTTACTGTGGCAGGGTGAGCAGTCTTTGGCACTAATGTAATAGCAGTACAATTGACTGCCTTATACATTTTTCCAGTACTGAAGAATTCCTTGACTGCCACCACTACATCTCCCTTCACTACTTGCCAGGCTTTTTTGAAGAAATAAGAGTTAAAACCATCTACACCTGGGGACTTCTCATCTCCTATTGAGTTCAATGCTTTGAATACCTCTTGTTAAGTGACCTTTGTACAGAAGTCCAGTTTTTGTTGGTGTGATAAGGTAGGGCCTTTTCTCATGGTGTGCTTGTTGATTGCTGGTAGTATTTTTGCTGCAGATCCCATAGGACCTTTGTAGAAATCTACAATCTCTTTTTTGATGCTTTGAAAGTTTGTGAGTTTAGTGCCAAACATTGAAGTTAACTCATTAATTTTCTTTCTTTATGCCTTTCTTTGATAATAGCTATGAAATATTTTGTATTAGAATCTCCTAGCCTTATCCAATGTGCCTTGGATTTATGCTTCATTGCTTGCTCCTCAATCATAGACCATTTCTCCAAGTTGTGTAGCTGTTGTCTCTCCATTTCTACTAATTCATCAGAGCATTTGTTACTGATTTGTTTCTGAGTATTGATCAATTCAGCTCTAGTCTTCTCAATCTTTTGTGATATGTATTTGAAATCCTCATTGTTCAGCTGCTTTAATAGAGGCCTCAAAGCTTTTAGCTTTAGTCATATATCTTTTATCTTGTTGTCAGCCATATTATTCCTCCATATTTGTTCTACCAGTGGTAAGAAGTTGTCATTCTTAGCCCATACGTTCAAAAATCTGAATGGTATCTTAATGTTCAGTTTTAGATGAGCCATAGCTAATACCATTGGAAAGTAGTCTGATATGAGTGGAACATCATATTCTACAAGTAAGTGCCCTTATTGCATCATCCACTCATGATTGCCAAATGTTCTATCTATTCTACTGTATATTCTATCAGTAACCACTTTGCTTATTAGTCCATGTATAGTAATCATCTTTTTATTGAAGTTCATTGAGCATTAAGCCTTGTATACAATCAACATAATCTTTAGTCTCTGCATAGGTCACTGGATTCCCAAACATTCTATCTTGTGGAGCCATTACTGCATTGAAATCACCAGTAACTAACCATGACATGTTTATACCTTGTGCCACCTCTTTCAAGTTCTCCCATAAGGTTGTCCTTTTCTCTATTGTATTGTAACCATATACAACAGTTAGCAAGCAATTCATAGTACCTGTATTACTTTTAACATGTCAGTGTATTAGTTGTGCTTCAGTTCTGATCATTTGCACTGTATAGTAGTTTGGGTCCCAGCCTACCCAAATCCTCCCATTTCTTGCATCCTGATAGTTCATTATGCTCTCCCATCTTGGCATTGTGTATTGGCAGATATTTTGGGCATTATGCTCTTTGACTCTTGTCTCTACCAGCCCAACCAGTTTGATGTTATTATTCTTCATATAGTTCCTCAATTCCTTTTGTTTATATCTCTTATTTACACCTCTAACATTCCAGAATAACCACTTCATAGAGTAAGATTTGGATCCCTACCCCTATCCAGGAGTATGAATTTGTTATCACTATGCCCCTTTCTACTTGGTTCGGATCCATGTCTTGAAGGTGTTGCTCTAAGCTCAGGAAAGTTGTGGAGGTTAAAAGCTGGACTTGCATTAGTTTAGCCCTCTGTGTGTTGGGTAATAGCATGCCCTCCTGCCTCTGCTGATTGGTGTACCTGTGTTTCCCTTGTTCTTGAACTTTCTGGTTGTTCTGAGATTTGTGTTCTTAGTTCATTTTCAGTTATTATCCTCTTTTGTTTAGGACCCTCTTGTTGTCTCTTCTGCTGGAGAGGTTGTGCTAGTGCTGTATTTTGATCTACAGCTGGTGCTGTCGGGCCCTTGGTTCTCCACTCATAAGTGATAAATTTATTATCTCTTTTCCTCTGTTATTGTGGCACTGGAGGTTTTGCTCTGATCTGGCAACTGTGACCAACAATCTGGCATTTGTCACAAAACATAGGCTTCCAATCATAAGTTACATGATGCTGAAACTTCCTTCCTTTTGGGTCTATCACAGTGATTTCCTCAGGCAATGTCCGACTCACATTCACTTCAATTAGCATACGAGCATAGGATATCCTTGTTTGTTTAGTAGTGCATTCATCAGCATACAAAGGTGTGCCTAGGACACTGGAAATTCTGCTCAATGATTTACTACTCCAACAACTCATTGTTAGATTAGGAAATTTTACCCATAGAGGAATGTTAGTTGGAAACTCCTTACTAAAATCAAATTCGGGCATCCAAGGTTTCAAGATTATTGATCTATTGTTTATTGTATATGGTCCAACATAGAAGATTGCAATGCATATCAGTGATAGAATGAAACTTGAGCAAATAATAGCCCTCTTCATGATAATAAACATCAGGATTAGCAACTTTAGACCAATTTTGTTCAATGTAACAACACATTGCATCATATCGTGGCATCTCACCAATGATATAAGCTATTAATGCACATCTCCACTTCTCTTCCTCTGGTGCTACTTCCTCTTCTTCCAATTGCACTACTGGTTGACCATCTACCAGTTGGGGAGAGATGTATGAAAGGGTCATGCTATTAGCAGCTGACCTATTACCTTTAAATAAATTAGTCCATGTTCCCATCTGCTTTGGATCCTCTACTCATTTGTGATTGTCTTGTTTTGCTTCCGTCACTGTTCCATTGGTTACTGTAGCATTTTCTCCCAGTGGTTGTTGAGTAGTCTTTGCTGCACTCATCTCCGTTTCCATTGCCATTTGTGTATTCTCTGCTTCCTTGATCAATACCATCCCTTTAATTGGCTTAGGATTAGCACTTGATAGTCCCTCAATTGACCTAGAGTTTGTAATTTGGGGGTTTTCTCCTTTAGAGCTAGGAGTTATTTCACCACTTAATTGCAGTCGTTGTGCCACTCTTTTTGGAATTGTTGCAGATCCCATTGTATTGGTTCTCTTATCCTCCATTATCTGAATTGGAGTAGTTTCTGTTATCTTAGGTCGAGCTTCTTCTGTTTGCACTCAAGCTCCCACTGAGCTTCCAAAAGCAACTAGCGGAACTTTCTTAGGTCTTCCTTGTCGTTGTCCCCGTACTCACCCTCTTGCCATGGACGATACGTGCACCGGTCGCATGAGAGAGCAGAGAGAGAAGAAGAATAGTGAGATGACACACACACCCAATTCGTTTTGACCCGTCCATTTGCCCCCCTACATGCCCCTACAGTCAAATAAAGCTACTCCTACTATATATGAGCTTGCAGCAGACAAAGGAGAAAGAGTGTCCTCCGACTCTCATATATTTTTTATTCCCACTAACACCCTTCCTTTCCCAGTCTCTTTATGTAGTTGGAGACTTAGAAAAAAGAAATGGAGTAACCATTTTTGTGGCTTAACAAACAAAGATCATGAACCTAATCATCTCTTTACACGTTTTGGAATCCAATAAACTAACGGTAATTAAGCACCAAAGCCAAATGTTGTTCTGCCTAAGTAACAACATGCCCTCTATCAGTTTCATATCTCACAAAGGAGAAGTTTGTATGATGTACATTCATATTAAAAAACATTGCAAATTAAACTATTTTGCAGCAGCAGGGAAAAATCAAAGACCTTCTGAACACTATGGTATTACAAACTTTCTCCAACAAAAAACCAGACTCCTATGCATGAAGTCAAGTGTGCAACTAAAAAACTGAAAAGTTGCATTAGTACAGAAACTCGCGATAGCTCTCATTTGTAGGTTGTCATCCCCACACCGGCTTCTCCACCATATGGTCCGGGGCTACCCCTGGCCTTGGAGTAAGACACGTAGTAAAACTCTGAGATTATGCTGCTGAAGAAAATGAAAGCTGCTCCAGCTGCAAAAACTCCCTTTCTCACCCTCTCACAAGACACAGGCTTATCATTAAACAGTAGTGATGATCTATACTTTGTGTGGTAAGCATTCCTAACCGAACCAGCCAACAAGCACACCTCGGCAATGAAAAACGTAACCCTGAAATATAAGTCAGATCAGTGGCGGAGCCAGAATTTTCACATAGAGATTCTAGAATCAAGATATATGATAACATGTTATCATATTTACCAGCATATGATGAATAAAAGAACAGCACAACCCCTTGAACTACCAGGGCTCAAAGCTTTTCCACAACAGAAGCAACTGCTTGCAACCATTATAAGGACTTGACTAACCATGAGGAATAAGAAAGCACCAACGCCAAATCCAGTTGAAATGTCTGAGTCATAGACACAATAGGTATATACCTGCTCAGTGTCTGTTTGTATCGTGGCCTATCAATGAAACATAGACTTTTTAGATCAATTAGGTGAAGCACAGTTGCTTCTAAAACTTGATCGAATAAAATCTCTAGAGTCTGAAATACTTAGTAGACAATAACATTCATACCAACGAAGAGCAAACAAAAATGCGAGCAAGACTGCACTAGACAGTGGACATTAACAAAATCCTTCTCTCGTGTTACCGTTGTCTCTTATTTCATTCTCCAACAGTCCAGTGGATTTTTTCACCTTTGAAGTCTTAATATATTGCCTCATTTTCTCAAAGAAGCAAAAACAAAATATTACTCTCTCAATAAGCTTAGCATAGTCAAAATATTTTTGCGTTTAGACACTAAATTCTTAACATATTAAGAAAACTTTTCAAACTTAGGAGTTGCATATAAAGTCAAAACAATTAAAAACATGTCTTTAAGAATCTTAATTGAAGAAAAAATGCTATAACTATCAAAAGAGTAATATCATCATAGGTGGAGTTAGCATATGCCTTACGGTTCGGTTGAACCAGTAGCTTTGGTCAAAATAATGTGTTTGTCATAAAAAAATCCATTAACTATGTAAAAATTATTAATTTAGAACTCATTAATTACGTAAACGGACTACAATCCCGAATCCATAAGCTTCAAATCGTGACTCCCGCCTCTAAATATCATAGATGCTGCCATTCAAGTAAATGCCAAGTAGAGGAATTCTGCCTACTCATGAAAATCATCAAATATTTGCACATAACCAATGCCGCTAGAAAATAATAATATACTAGAAAACCAGAAATTACCAGGAAGATAATTAAATTCTCAAGAATTACAGAAATCAAATATCAAAAAGCAAGTAATATATGCTAAAGTCTTTTTTTCGAAAGTTACATTCTCTAATGGATCTAAACGTACAGATAAAGATTCTATAAATGAAAACAAGAATAGTAAAGTAGGTACTTACAGTGCTCCTTCTCTGCTCAGCAGCAACAGCTAAAGAAAAAGCAATGAGATCCAAAACAAAGACAGTGATCATTAACAACTTCGAAGCCATAACTGATCAAATTAAAAGACTTCTCTCTCTCTCTCTCTTTACATACACAGATTAAAAAACACACACGGAATTCTCTGTCTCTCTCACTCTATATATGTTGTTTCAGTTTCACTTGTCTACATACATACTCCATGTAATAAAGGCCTTTTGCGTAATGAAGAAGAAGAGTAAGTAATAAAGCAAAAAAAAAGTGAGGGGACACCAACAAATGTAACGACGTTTCAACTTTCAGCTGTTCACCAGAATACCTAAAGCTGAATGCGAGTACTATACTAAACGTTTAGTATTCTGTAACTACTACCACACCATTTTTCACAGTTTCTTACCACCTTTTTTCTTCTCAAGTCTTTTATCCGAAAAGGTTCAGTGACTTGATTAAATACGAATTGAGTACATTTATCAACCGTATTTCCGTTGTCCTACTACTGCTAGCTAGACTAGTATTTATACGTATTTGTTGTAAAAAAAAAAAGGGTAAGTCGTTTGTCTATATTATAACTTAGTTTTATTTTTATTTTTAATGTATCTAAAAAGAATTTAGTGTTCTAACTAGCATCGTCACAAAATTTGACCTAAGAGGGAACAACTCGGTTAAGTGGTGATAATTTGAATAGTAATATAAAAATTACATTATAATCTTTTTTATGTAAAACCTTAATCACACATCATTAGGGGTGTTTACCCACTTATTGCCTCAATTTTTCCTTCCACATGGTAAAAAGTCTTAATAAAAGAACGGGTCAATGATAATTAAAATCCCAAAGGAAAATTGCATTACAAATGAAAAAAACTAACGAGTTTAAAATTAATATTATATTATTTTTAATGCTATCAAATACTATGTAAAAGTAACACATAACAATAGATTAAGC